TTTTTGCCCAATATGGCTAAAATACTAAATCAAAATCATGTATACTATTTGGCCTCTATTACCACATAATACATTACCAATACATTGTCACCACATAGATAAAACAATCCTTGCACTTGTATTAGTATTTTAGCCTATCACCACAAAAATTGCCACATATTCACCTCATATACAATATTGGGCTAAAATACACCACAACATAGTATGAAACAAGTGCAATCAATCAAAATGATATGCATTCCTAGTTGGCAACATATAATATCATATAACAAATTTATGTACACCACTCAAATTGAAATCGGGCTTTATAAAGAGTGTAGCAGATATGCTAGCCCCTGCCTGATTCCTTCCCTGGCTCAGTCTCACCAGTAGTACTTGTAAAATGATAACTACAGGGTGAGATAAAAATCTCAGTAACTAAGATAATCTACATTATTGATTAACAAGCTAAGTTATAAACAAGCATTAAAATAAGTGACATAATCACATCATATAAGATCACCATAAATTGCATGCATGATCCCTAACTATCCGGTCCTTCAATACTCCCAATTGAACTAGTAGGCTATTTTACAGAACCGAACTACATGTATGGTCCCCAAGCTCACCATCCATGGTAGGACTACCCGGCCAAGGTGTCCTAAACCACTTTTGGACTACTGTTTCCCCTTATTATAAGTAATTGGGGTGTTGTTACTCCAACACCGCATCCTACAGATGCTAAGGAGCATATCTCCAACTTCGCACCCTTTTGGGTACTAAGGAGAGTAAGTGTCCAACACTGCACTCATTTTTAGGCACTAAGGAGATTAAATGCTGCACCTGACGTCCTGAGGTGCCAGCAATGCCATATGGACTTAATCTTCACTATCTTTACTAGGGTGACCTCCCACCCTCTAATATGCTACAATTCACTACATATCTCCACTTGACCATGCATAAACAATTTTCCAAATAAATATAACAAATCTTATCATTTACTTCAAAAATATAAAATTTTACAAACCAATACTCCACTCATTTTCTAAAATAGTTAACCTTTAAAGAATTTATACATATATACTCAACAATTCATAGAAAACCAACTTGAGAATAACTTATACAAGGTAATAAATAATGCAAATTATCTAGTTATCTCAACCTTTTTGTTACTAAAAGGGTTACCCGTGGTACTAAATTTCTTGTTATGTCAAGGTAAGTCTTCCCACACCACAATCTACTACAACAAGTACTACATGTTAATTTTCAATTAACACAAGCACTATTAACTACCAATAACCTCCCAATTCTCCCACTTCTCACTCATATTGTCAACAAATAAGCTTGTCAAGATTACAATTTGTTCACACCATCCCTTTAAGTCTTTTTCTAACTCTATCACAACATAAAATGTAATATCTCAACTTATCATACTTCAACACCCTATGATCAAGTTAGGGCTTGATTCAAAATTCACCAAACAAGAAAGTAGCTTCCTATTACCACATATCTAAGATCAATAAACCTAAATTAAACCTTTAAAGTCAATAGAAACCTTCAAAACATTGACTCATGGCTTAATCCAATCAGACCAAATTCTCACTCTTCCAAATCCCATGGAAAATAAGATGAAAAGGTAAAGGAGAAAGGTAGGAAACTTACCTAAGAGTTTGAAGGCTCAAATTATCTTCAAAATCCTCCTAAATTGATGTTCTAGCAGTGCCCAAAGTTGCTCCCTCCGTGCTCTAGGTTTTCTACCCAAAAATCTGTCAATTTTTAATGATTCTCGAAATTTTAAGTTGCCTACTATGCCGTGTGCCACTGTACACGCCACGCAAGCTGCGGCTTATGACGTAGTGAGCAACAAGTAGATTTTGCTCCCCCCGATGCCTCCCGACTTGATCCGACTTTCATCCTATCTCAATTTAGAGCCAAATATGACTCAAAAATCCAATTAGCCACCCAAAAACATAATTAAATAAATTAATCATATTTTTAAATAATTTATCCTTTAATTAATGAACTTTTTCAGATTTGAAGTTTTAGGATGTTACATACAAATCCTATGGCAACTTATACATACTTTTGGCTCATAATTTACAAATCATTACGCCATATCTTATAAAGATTTAGGCAAGAGATGTCAATTCAACTTATATCCTTTTCCCTTTAACCCACTAGCACTAGAACCTGAAAAGTGTAAATAACCACGAGTGAGATAAAATTTCACTAATCAAATATAGCTCATTAAATGTCTATTACCATAGGTAACCATGTTAAAGTAACTGAAAACATTATATAGCGCACACGCACACACATATATATCATATCAATACTAAATTATCTTTTTCACATATAAATCACGTTTCAAATACTTTTTCACCACAACATGATTAACTATCCACCAATCCTCCAAAGCTCCCCAACACGAAACCATAGGCTCTTCTGGATTAACCACCTATTGACCTAAGCTCACTTTCGGTGGTAGAAACACCTAGCCAAAGGTAATTTAACCCACCTACAGACTATGGTTTTCCCTCTTCACATACTTGTGATAGAGGTGTCGTTAACTCTTAACCGCACCTTAACGAGCACTAGGGAGTTGCCAGACTGCCCGGATGTCCCATAGAAATAGTCCCATAATATGCTATATCGGATTACCCATGGTAACAGCTCGAATAATGCTACACCAAATGTCTTATAGTACTAGCCCGACCATATGGATTTTTCACTCACAAATCTCTACACATACACAACTCCACATATCCTGGGTGAACTCCCACCCCCTATGGTCATGCTCTTTTACAACTTCTACTACTTATACATCTTTCCACCATATATATATATACTTATGAAAAATCAATAACTTTTCAAATTCATTTCACAATGCAAAGTTCATGCTAAAACTCATAAATTCACAATTTGATATTTGACATTCACTTCTACATAGTTATAATAGTTAATAAACATAATAAACTATATGGTTACATCAACCCTTCTGTTTGTTAGAAAAGGGTTACTCGTGTAAATTCAACCTTATTCAAGCTCTTCTCTCATAATTTGTGCGTCACACACTAGAATCTACATAGAATTGGCATTCAAAATCAATTCCTCTATTAACCAAAAGTGCCAATTATCACAATTAAATACTTAGTTGCTATCAAATCCACATTTTACACTCAATTATGCACATTACCACTAATTGTCCCTCATTTCAAGCTTTAATATTTTCTAGCAACATTTCAAGCTTTAACATTTTCTAGCAATTTTTCTCTCACTACTCTCTCTCTCTAAATTAGGGAAATTCTTGCCTAAAGCTTCAAAACTTTATCGTTTCGACTCTAACCAGTTACAAAGCACTAGTTTGACTCCAAAGAACCTCTTTCTTACTATTGGGTAAGAAATCAACTCCTTAAAACTCTCGAATTCACTTTCTCCTTGATTAAGTCTAAGAGAAAAAAGTGTAGATTCGAACGTTAATGCAGTACGTGACTTACCCAATAAGTAATGAGTCGAAAACACCGCCCTTGCTCTTGATTTAGCTTGCCTTAACACAACCTTAGCTCTTCTCCACTTCAGAACTCTCCTCCCACATTTCTCCCTTCTGTTTTTCGAGCTATACATGTCTCTATTAATCAAATTTATGCTTTGTACACCGTGGCATGTGGCATAATGAGGAAAATCCTCACTATGCTCACCTACTCTGCTCAAGACCCTGCTCTTCTACTCATATCTGTTCACATAGCATCCCAATGAGTCAATATATCACTTCACTACTCAGAAATCTAATCCCTACATTAAATTACTAACTCATCCCTAATCAGTTATGAACACAGGATTATAAATTCAGGATGTTATAGTTCACCCCTTCTTTTAAAGAATTTTGTCCCCAAAATTGAAACAACTATTAACTCACAGTTACCTAAGGGAATAACTGAAGGTATAGCTGTCTCAACTTACCTTCTGTCTCTCAGGTCGCATCACTAAGAGTCATACCCTTCCTAAATACTTTCACAGCTGAATAGTCTTATTTCTTAATTGCTTATCTTTCACATCCACTATTCATTCCAGTTTTGTTCTATAGGTCATATTTTCTCATAATTCTACTTTTTCAGGCTTAATCATATGAGAAGGATCCGGTTGGTACATCTTAAGTTGAGACACATGGAACACATTATAAAGCCCAGATAACTATAGAGGTAAAGCAATTCGATAAGCAACTGGTCCGATCCTCTACAAGACTTCAAACAGACCAATGAATCTGGGAGTCAATTTCTTGGCTCTAATTGTCTCCTAATTCCTGTTGTGAGCGTAACTTTCAAAAACATATGATCACCTATTAAAAACTCCGATGGTCTCCTTCTTCGATTAGCATAGCTCTTTTGCTTGCTTTGAGCTGTTAATAACTTTTGTTGTATCAACTTAATCTTCTGAGTAGTTTAATCTATAATGTCTGGCCCTACTTTTCTTCTTTCACTTAGTTCAGTCTAACATAAAGGTGATCTATACCTTCTTTCATATAAACCTTTATATGGAGCCATTTGAATGTTAGAATGATAACTATTATTGTATGTAAATTCGGCCAATGGCAAATAGCTATCCCAACTACCACATAAGTCTAACACACAAGATCGCAGCATATCTTCTAGAGTTTGAATGGTTCGCTCTGTTTGTCCATCAGTCTAAGGATGATAAGCAATACTAAACTTTAAAGTAGTACCCATGACTCTTTGTAACACTCCCCAGAACCTGGATGTAAATCTCAGATCTCGATCAGAGACTATTTCCTTAGGCACTTTATGTAAATGTACAACCTCTCAGATATAGGTTTCAGCCAACTTATCTAGAAAATCACTGATCCTGGTGGCTAAAAAGTAGGCTGACTTAGTTAATCGGTCAACAATTACCCAAATAGCATCATGTCCTAATTGAGTTCTTGGCAATCCAGAGATGAAATCCATGGAAATGTTGTCCCATTTCCACTTAGGTATTTCTAACGGCTATAGTGTCCCAGCCGGCCTCTAATGTTCAATTTTCACTTTATAACAAGTCAAACACCGAGCTACAAACTCTATCACCTCTCTTTTCATTCCTAGCCACCACCAATAACACTTAATGTCCTGATACATCTTTATAGCTCCTGGGTGAATAGTGTACTTGCTGTAATGTGCTTCATTCAGAATCACCCTTCTCAAATCTTCATCATTAGGCACACAAATTCTATCCCGATAAACATTGAATCCATCATCATTGAAGCTAAAATTTGTAGCTACATTCAACTCAACCTCTTCTCGAATCTTAAGAAGATACTCATCTTCCAATTGCGCCATTCTTAATTCCTTCCAAAAATCACTATTAATCATAGTAGTATAAGCACCAACTAAAGCTTTCAATAGTGCATCCTGTTGAAAATCAATGAAAGACTCTAATAAATTGTGCTCTTGGATCATTAAACTGGCTATATGTAGTGTCTTCCTACTCAACATATTAGCTACCTCATTAGCTTTCCCTGAATGGTATTTCAACTCAAAGTTATAGTCTTTAAGCAATTCTATCCATCTTCTTTATCTCATATTCAATTCTTTCTAGTCTATTAGATACTTTAAACTTTTATGGTCACTAAACATACTAAACACTGACCCAAAGAAATAATGATGCCAAATCTTCAATGTAAAAACCATTGCAGCTAGTTCTAAATCATGAGCATGGTAGTTCTCTTTATGTGGCTTGAGTTGTCTTGATGCATATGCCACAACTCTTCCATCCTTCATTAACACGCAACCCAAACCTCTTAGGGAAGCATTTGTATACACCTCATATGGTAGTCTCAAATTCAGGATTATTAGCATAGGTGCAGTAGTTAGTCTCTCTTTCAACTTTTGAAATGCAATCACACACCTGTCATCCTAAATAAAAGGATGATCTTTTCGGGTCAATTTCATCAATGGGGAAGCAATTTGAGAGAAACCTTAGATAAACCTTCGGTAATATCTAGATAATCCTAAAAAACTTTGAATTTCCATAACTGAACTAGGCCGTTCCTATTTCAACACAGCATTAACTTTATGTGGATCAATAGAAATCCCATCTGTTGACACCACATGACCTAAAAATCTAACTTCTCTCAGCCAAAACTCACACTTACTGAGCTTGGCATAGAATTTGTTCTCCTTAAGAATCTGAAGGACAATCTAAAGATGTTTGGCATGTTGTTCCTCATCTTCTAAATAAACCAGAATGTTATCGATGAAAACCACAACAAACTGGTCTAAGTATGGTCTAAAGATACAATTCATGTAATCCATGAAAACTGCAGGTGCATTGGTCAGGCCAAATGGCATGACAAGGAACTCATAATGCCCATAATGCATATGAAAGGCTGTCTTAGGTATATCTTTTTCAGAAACCTTGAGCTGATGATATCTTAACCTCAAGTCAATCTTGAAAAAGACTGAGACTCCAGCGAATTGATCTAGCAGATCATCGATCTTAGGTAAAGGGTACTTATTCTTTACTGTTGCCTTGTTCAATTGTCGGTAGTCGATGCATAATTACAAACTGCCATCCTTATTTCTTACAAACAACACTGGTAAACCCCAAGTTGATACACTTAGCCTGATGAATCCTTTGTCAAGCAAATCTTTAATTTGCTTGTTTAATTCATTCAACTCTGAGGGTGACATCCGATACGGGGCTTTAGAAATTGGTTATTTACTAGGAAACCAAATCTATTAAGAATTCAACTTCTCTTTCTGAAAGTAATCTAGATATCTCCTCAGAAAACACCTTAGGAAATTCACTTACCACTCCAATCTTCTCAATACCATCATTATACACACTACTGGCAGCACAAACTACTATATAGGCATCGCACCCTTGCTTGATTAGCTTCTCAGCTTGCACAACTGATAGGAACCTAAGTTGCTTAGTAGAACTAGTCCCTGTCAATGACTATAAACACCATATTTTGTTCGCACATTTAACAAAAGATAAATATTTTTACTTTTAAATGTATTTTTTTGTAAAAAAAAATATAAAAAATTAATTAAAATATAAAAATGAAATTTCATTCTTTTTTAAGAATTAATTTCAAAAAAAAATAAAGAGAGGAAATTTTTGAAAAACAAAATATTAATTCTTTTTTAAGAATTATGTTTAAAAAAAATCTAACAAGTATAAAAACAAAATATTAATTCTTTTCTAAGAATTATATTTCAAAAAAATTTATAGGTTGGTATTCCTCCATAGGATTTGCTACCAAATAATTTGCAATGATACTTCCTTTAATTGACTTACGAGTCATGTATTTCACATCATATTCTGAGAGTATTACCTACCACTTAAAAACTCGACCTGACATGTGAGGACTCTCAAAAATATATTTTATTGGATCCATTCATGAAATCAACCATGTGGTATAATACAATATGTATTGCCTTAGTCGTTGAGTAAACCATACTAAACCACAATATGTCTTTTCAATTAGTGAATAGCGTGATTCACAATCAGTAAAGTTCTTGCTCAAATAATAAACTACTTTTTCCTTTTTGCTAGCTTCATCAAGTTGCCCCAGCATTGCACCCACGGATGGAGGTCTTATGGTTAAGTAAAAAATTAAAGGCCGACCAGGTGTTGGAGGTACTAATAGTGGAGGGTTCAATAAGTAGTCCTTAATCTTGTCAAAAGCTTGCTGACAATGTTCATCCCACTTGTCAGTATGACTTTTCTGTAATAATTTAAAAAGTGGCTCACAAGTAGCAGTTAAATTGGCTATGAATCTAGATATATAATTCAAGTGCCCTAAAAAGTTGTGAACCTCTTTCTCTATTTGTGGTGGCCTCATGTCGTGAATTGCTTTGACCTTGTTAGGATCTACCTCTATGCCCTTCTTACTGACAATAAAACCTAACAATTTTCCCGATAAGGCTCTGAATACACATTTATTAGGGTTTAACTTGAGCTTGTATTTACGCAAGTGTTCAAACAACTTTCAAAGAACTACTATATGGCTTTTATCTTTAGCAGACTTAGCTACCATGTCATCCACATACACCTCAATCTCCTTATGCATCATATCATGAAACAGTGCTACCATAGCTCGTTGATGAGTTGCACCTGCATTCTTTAATCTAAAGGGCATCACCTTATAGTAAAAGGTACCCCAAGGTGTAATGAAAGTATTTTTATGTTTGTCCTCCACGTGTATAGGAATCTGGTTGTATCTTGAATAACCATCCATGAAGGAATATCTATAACTACGTGCTATATTATCCATAAGCACATTAATATGCGGTAAGGGAAAGTCATCCTTAGGGCTAGTACGATTCAAGTCTCTCTCTCTTTTAACTATTGCTAATTCATTCACCTTTGCCTCCAACTGCTTAGTAACCATCTCCACCCTTTGTGATAAACTCTTTAAAAGATGAAGGCCTTGTACTTCATTATTGAGAGCGTCCCTCTCTTTAGTGACTTTTATCAACTTAATTTGATTATCCTTCATCTTCTGATCATGCTCTTTAAGTTGTACACGCATGTCACACATTGTGCGTTTGAGCTTTAAATTCTATTTTTTCAATTGATCTATCTTTGTACTCTCTTGCCACGCATCTTGCCTTTTCATCCTTTCTACATCATCTTATAAGGAAGCATACTCGTGTTGCAAGTAGGTTAAAGCTTCTTTGTTCTCCTGATCTGCCTTAGTCAATCTTTCTCTCTCTTCACCCCTTCTTTCAAATTGCCTTGTTAATTCTTTCTGTGCTTCTGTTATGTCATTGCGAAGCAAGGGATCAGGGTAAGCGAGTACTGGATTAGTTCCCTGAATCTTTTTTTTTAACCAAGTTAGATAATCTTCATTTGCCCTTATCAGACGAACCCCTAACTCCAACTTCCCTCTATATAGAACTTTATCCCATGTACTTGCCACCTTTTGGCTTAGATACTTAGTTATAGCATCATCATAAAGGAATTGAATTCTCTGAATTACACCTCCTGAAGGGATTTTTTGTTGGAAACCTAGTTGTCTCAATAATAATGCAAGATTATAGTTTATTCCTCCCCACGGACCCATGAATGGAACATTTAAGAAATCCTCGTATTGATAAATTATTTTCTCATTGTTCCACCATATTAATTTCCAATAAACTCTTCCTTCTTGACGTTGATTAAAAACTTTGCTCCACCCTTTTTGATCTAATGTGGTCCTACCTTCTTTGTTTTTGAATGCAGCAAGTGGATTATAAGAATCATGCCATTTTCCTTCTTGGAATTCTTTTCAGTACAAGTGATTCATGATCCACACATTTAATAAGTAAAGGCAACACCTCAATCTTCCCTTTTTCTTGGTATGGTAATGGCTTAAAGTCATGTAAGTTTCTGCCAAAATTTCTGGTACGGGGTTAATTTGGTGATATTCTACCATGTAAAATACACTAATTGCGTGTAAATCAATTACCCTTATAGCAAATGGAAATAGAATTATCCCGTAAATTACCATAGCAAAAACCCTATTGAAAACAATCCATCTTTTCTGCTCAGCCAATTTAACCAAATATTTCTCCATAAATGCCCTTAAAATCCCTTCCTCATTTCCTAGCCAAAACAATTTGACCTCCTCAATGTTTAAGTCAAGAAGCTTTGCAATTTGATTTTTTAATGGTAGATATCCTAAGTACTTATAAACTTGATCTCCTTTCTCAAGAGGCATCCCCAAGAAAGCACCATATTCTTCTATTGTAGGAGCGAGTTGAAAGTTTGGAAATGTGAAACATCTCAATGTATTATCCTAATGCTATCCTAAAACGGCCATGGCATTAGTTTGAACTGGTACGTAGAGCAAGTCTAAAAGATCCCTATATTTCTTCCTAAACTCAGATAGTGAATTCCTTTTGATGTGTCGAGATAGTTCTCTCAAATTTGCAAGCCTAATTAATTAATACTAACTCATTAACAATTTTACTCACTCCTCTGATTCCTTACTGCTTCTTAAGGAAAATGGCCATCAATTAAATGATATATATATATATATATATTTACTGATGGCTTTTATAGAATATTTATAATCTAAATAGTATATTTTAACATTGATGACACTTAATACCCATAAAAGAAAAATTAATAAATTCACTATCTATTCTTTGTTTAAGGAAATGATATGGAACAAAGTTTTTTTTTGTCCTATATCAAATATTATCCTTAGTCAGGATATCTCAGGAGCACTTCATCAACATATTATAGGGATTTTAGCAGGCTTGACTTATTATGTGCAAAGTTCTTGGTTTGATCTAACAATCCTAGCATGGGCAACCAAGCTACTTCCACCATAAAGATAGAAACCCCATTTAATAAATTTATTCCTCTGAGAGCTTTTCAACCCTTCAAGGAGTAAACTTAATAAATAAGTAACAACTCGGGTGAAGTTTTCATAGTAATCTCCAAGAATATGAACATTCCTCAAGAAAACCTTTACCAACTTCTACTAACCTAAGGATCCCTTAAACCCGGGTATAGAGCTCGTTATATGTGTAAGGGTAAGTGTATGCAAATCTAATATTCCCCATCCCTCATCTACCAATCAAGTCAAACAAAGAGATAAATATATGTACAAATAAGAGTCTTCTATCCTAGGATTTATTTCGCATGTTATCTATCCTAAGACATGTTATAAAACCAATAAAAAGAGAGAGAAGAGAAAAATTAAGGGGAAAAGGCACACAAAAATTAAAAAGGATAATAGTAATAAAAAAACAAAAATCATATTATATTTTGAGCACAACAAACTTATATAGGCTTGACTGTCTAATGTCCCCAGTGGAGTCGCCAACTATCGCACTTGAAAATGTGACGTGGACGATACGAGAGCAAAGGTTCTGGCCTTCAGAAGGAAGACCGAAGAAATGGGAGTCGTCACCAAGATTTTGAGAGAAATCTCAAGAAACTGTTTAAAGGTGGATAAGGCTGGTCTATGAATTCAGAAAAAAAAGGTTCGAGAGTCGGTTGAGTGTGGGGAAGGTGTTAAGCAGCCCACAACACCCGTTCGTGAGAACGGTTACCTGAAGTTTGTTATGTGATATTAATATGGTTTTAAAATTATTTTAATTATTCCTTTTATATTCATGTGTTTGATATAAAAATGATAACAACTAAGCAAGAAATATTCATTTATTTATGGGGAGGACTTGAGTCAGAATCTGACTCTGAGGCCTACGTACCCTATGATGGGAATCAATGTCCACATAGTTCGAGCTTGGTAATTGTTTGTGGGGGAAAATATATTTTTTTGAAGAGAAATTAATTAGAAATAGCTCACCATTTTGCAAATAAAACAAATTTATGAAATTTTGATATGTGTATTTTAAATTACAAAAAGTAATTTAATTTCAATTATTTTCTCAATTTTTGAATTTTTAAAAAAGAAAAGGGTTTAAAATTATTTTTATATATTTTATGATTGAAAATTTAATTGTTATACCTGCAGAGCCTTATTGACTCATACGGTAATACAATTATTCTTTATATTTGCAGAGAATCCAGACTCTCACATGATAAAAGAATTTAGCAACTTAATTTATTTATTTATATTCTTATACATATTTTTAAGTATTAATAATAATAATAATTTTTTTAAGTGCATTGATACATATATACTTTTTTAAAAACAAAAAGACTCTTAATTATCATACCTGCAAAGCCTTATTGACTTTTACGATAATAAGATTATCCTAAATATCTGCGTAGATTCAAAATCCTCACACCATAAAGGATTAAATATTATATATTTTAAAAATATTTTAATACGTAATTATATAATTTGTGTTTTTAAATATAAAAATCTCAATCGCTATACCTACGAAGTTTTATTGACTTTCATGGTAAGATGATTATTCTAGAGGTCTATGGATATTCAAAAATCTCACATGACCAAAAAATTTGATACATTAATTTAATTAATTAATTTTATTAAAAAAACACTTATAATTTTATTTATAAAATTTATTTATTTATTTATTTTATAAGTTAATGACCACGACATTTGCGAGGACTTATTATCCTTCACAATGAGGCGATTAAGCTGAATATCTACAAAGATTTTTTTAATCTCTCATGATACCATTCAAATGTTCTAATTGATTATATTTGTGAAATAATAAGAACAAACTCCTTCATTTAACCACATATTTAAAATCTCCATATGAAAATGATGTCATATAAAATCAAAATTATCTTCAAGAATTAATCAATTATTATTAAATGGAAATTAAACACAAAATAATGTATGACTTTGAGGAATAAAGAAATAGAAATCAAATTTAGGTTGATTAATATTCTTTCATACTAGAAGACAAACTTGAATCTTCTTATCACTTAGCTCAACAATACATGCTAAAGTATTATAACTAAATCAATCTTATTTATAAAAGCATATAAACACATGTTAGAGCATATTTAAAGTATGCAACATTATTTAGAAAAAGAAAAACACAATGTTACAGGGCTACTTTCTCTTCAAATATTTTCACAAATGTTTCCTATCCATACTTGAATGTTTAAAACCTCCAAATTTTCTCATTTCAAATACGAGGAGTTATTATCAAGGATCCCTTTCATGATATAAATATACTCACGTATTTGTTGCCATGTTTTAGAACAAGGACGATATGAAGCAAAAGACAAGTGTGGCATACCAAATAGCAGAGCAGAGAAGGGAGAAAAACAACTCAGACTTCTTACAGTAGTGGAAAAGGATGGCTAGCTCTCAGTTCAAATGTCATATTCTCCTCCTTTCTTCGTTTCTTCTTTCTCTCAGCCTTTACTTCTTCTTTTTTGTGTTTTTCATTGTCTCCTTCTTGTTCAGTTTTGAGTTCTCCTTCATGTTTCAGTCTCAAAAGACACTTACTCTCGTGGTTTCTCCTTCTCCTCTCTTCTCAATTTCTCTTCTTTTCTCTAGCCAGAACAGCCTCTGTTTCACGTTCAACTCTCTTACCTTCAGCTCTCTCTTGGTTTCTCTCCTTTTCTCTAGCCAAAACCACCTCCTCTTTTTCTGTTTTACGTTCAACTCTCTCTATCATCTGTTTTTAGCTTCTCTTCTCTCTCTTGTTCTCCATTTTGACGTCTCCTTTTTGCATGGCTGTGCTTCCTCCATCTCCTTCCCTCTTCTGCGTCTCTAGCTTTCTCTTTTTAGTTTCAGATAGTGCTCTCTCCTTCCTCGGTGCTTTATTTTTCTCTTCCTCATACTCTATTTTCTGTGTTTTTCCTCTTCTCTCTGTGTTCTCATTTTTGGTGCTCTTCTTCCTCAGATTGCCACTCTCGTCTGTCTCTTCCTCTCAATCTCAATGCTCTTCTTTTCACATTCTCTCTTCTCTTCTCGTCTCAACTCTCTCTCAGTTTCTCTCCTATTTTTCTAGCCAAAACCAACTCCTCTCTTTGTTTTACGTTCAACCTTATATAGAGAATGGAAGAGGTGAATCATTACTCTCCTACTCTGCCTTTTTTCTTTTTTCCTTCTTTTTTGCTGCATTTTTTGCGTGTGCCGAAAGCTCCCTCATT